GCTGGCAAGAGGAAGAAAAGAACTATGATCAGGGCAGAGCAATTCTATGGAAACCAAGGGAGAAAGTATTTCAAGAGGATTGACCAATAGTGTTAAAGCTGCTGAGATGTCAAAGAAGATATGAACTAGAAGCGCTCACTGGATTTAGGGGCAAGGAGGTAGTGACTTGCCCAGTGCAGAAGAGATTCCTTCAGCATTGTTAGGACAAGCTAAAACATCCTCACCTTTATCTTCTCGCATTGCCTGTCCAGTTTCTCTGGGGCTTGATTCATCCCGATGTAACCATCAGTGGTATCCAAGGCTCCTTTCTCCAGGCTGGCTCCTGAGAGCTGCTCCATTCTTGGAAGGCTGGTCTGTAGATGTCTACCAGGTGATCCCACTGAAGTCACCCAATCCAAGAGAGCATCAATCTTACTCCTGTTCTCTGCCAGTTCCTTTGCTGCTTTACTCTGAAAGCCACACAGGTAGTCTAGTGAGAAGGCCAACTATATAACCACAGGTTAAATAAATATGCTAAAGAAAAAGAGAAGCTAGGTTGGCCAGTTAGCTCAGTTGGTTAGAGTGCAGTGTTATAACACCAAGGTCAAGGGTTCGGATCCCCTTACTGGCCAGCCACCAAAAAAAAACCCAAAAAAAAAAAAAAAAAGAGAGGGGGGGAGAAGCCCCATGAATAAGAACAATTTTTTCAAATAAAAAAAAAAAAAAAAAGAGAGGGGGGGAGAAGCCCCATGAATAAGAACAATTTTTTCAAATAAAAAAAAAAAAAAAAAGAGAGGGGGGGAGAAGCCCCATGAATAAGAACAATTTTTTCAAATAAAAAAAAAAAAAAAAAAAAAAAAAAAAAGAGAGAGAGAGAGAAGCTCCATGACTAAGTACACTCTTTGCACATATAAAAAAAAAAAATTAATATCTTCTAAAATCTGTTCAAAAATAATTAAAACAATTTCTAGACTTTGTCTATATCCCACTGCTTAAAAAAAGAGTGCAAATCTGAGGATTTAAAAAGACTTTATTTAAGAGATGATTTAGTCCTGCCACCCCAACAAGGCTTCCTGGAATCCTTTCTAAGTACACAGAAGTGACACACTGGTTGGTGGGGTAAGAACTAGCATGCTCACATTCAATTATCTGACTGCTCTTCCCTACTCCATCCTTTTCTCAGCCAAACAGAACATTTAGTTCTTAAACTTGCCTCTCAAATTCTATTTATTGGCTCTTCAAATATTTTCATTAATTAAATATGATATGCCAAGTTATACATTCATGTATTTCAAAATTCATCTTCAGGTAACATTTCTCTTGTCCATGTTCTCTATCTCCCTCTTTAGCATCAGAGCCCAAGGCTAAACATAGAATTCGAATTCCATCTGCCAGTGTTGAGAAAAGTGCAGAAGACCCCACTCAGATGTCTGAAACTTTACCTTCTCTTTGGTTTATCTCAGTGCCATGATTCCCATCGTAACTACAGAGGCAGCTTAGGGATAGCATATGGCCCGCTAAGACTCCAGATATTTTTCCCCAATACTTTGAGATCACCAGTCTAGATTTCTAGATCCATGTAAGAAATATATCATTTGCTTTTTCCTCACCAGATAATACCCTTATTCACTAAGTTCTTTCTGACATTTTTCAATTAGCCAGAGTATATACAGGGGGTATATATGTATATATTTGGTAATAGACACATCCTACCAACTACACCTGACTTGAAGTCCTTCCAGATATTTATTGAAAGCATAAAGACTGACTCACAGACCAGCTCCAGAAGGAGCCTTTTTGGTTACTCTATAATCTTTCTCTAAGGTAGTTTCTCCTCATTATCTTTTATTTGTGTAGGTACCAAAAAACTTTTTTTAAAAAAAGAAAAAGTATCATAGAGTCTGGTTACTTTTTCAGTTTCCTGCTGTAAGGCTGAGGTCACTGCTTCCTCTAGCTCCTTCTGGGCCACTCGTGTCTGTTCCTGGAGAGCTTCATATTGCTCCTTAGCTTGATGAAGTTTTTCCCGAAGAGCTGTCAATTCATGGGGGCTCAGCTTGGTCTGGTTCTCTTCCAGAAACCCTTCAATGTCTTTGACAACAGTGGCAAAGGAGGTGGCATGATTCTGAATGTCGTCCTGTATATCCTTAATATATGAAAACAGGGATGGCAGAGCTTTCAAGTTGAGTATTTCCAAGTCCTCTAACAGTACAAAGATGGAATGACTAGGACCACATATCTGTATACAGTCCCTTACTATAATTTGCTTAAGGTTTAGGCCTACACCAGTGCAAAGAAATTATAAAATATTTACTTTTCTAAGCAAATATTTAGTAAAGACAAAAATGGAGATTGCCCATAAACATGTGGAATAGCACACATTTTCATTTTGTATTGAGTTATTTTCAGAGAGATTATTCTTTCTATAAAGAAGAGATGACAACCTGATTCTAGCAGACTCAAGGCCTGTTGGTCCTTTATACTCTCTTGGTTGTCACTCCTTATCCTTAACGTGGCCTACAAAAGCTCAGCATGATATGGGTCCCACTTACCCACCTCTTCAAGCTCATCTTTTGCTAATCTTCCTCTTGTTCTTTGTAGTCCAGGTGAATTAGATTTCTTTTAGTTCTTGAATAAGTTGTGCTTGGTCTTATTCTCACCTCATGGCCAATGCATAAGCCTCTGCATGTATGTTCTCTTCCTCTTCCCTCCCCTTAATGCATTATCTCCTACATAGCTTTTATTTCTCAGTTTAAGTGACAGTTCTTCAAGGTAACCTTTTCTGACATAATAGACTAGAGTGGGTCTCTCTGGTATATGTTCCCACATAAGCTTTCCTTTATAGATTCAACAGTTAATAATTATATATTCATTTCTGTGATAATCTGTATAATGTCTGTCTCCCCCAGTAGATTATAAGCTTTATGGGAGCAGGGATGTTACCACTGCTGTTTACCACTAAGCACTGTGCCTGGCACATAGCAAGCCTTTACAAAATTGTTGAAGAAAGGAAAAAATGATTAACTCACACTCACCTTCAAGTCATTTTGGTTCTTCTTCAAAGTAGAGAGATCCATCTGGGTGGCAGTTCCCTGATGGCCCACTAGCGCTCTTTCTGCCTGTCCTACCCAGGTGCAAAGATCCTCCAGTTTTTGGTGACAGGTATTTTGTTGTTTCTGTAGGGTCTAATTAAAATGCAAAGGGGTTGAGACAATAATTCTCATTTTACAAATACAAAATAACTCCCTGAAACGTAAGACAGGAAGGTGAAATCTCAAAGATGGAAAAGTTGGTGGGAGACTAGAACAGGAAAAGGCACAGAAATCATATTCAGAAAGCTCCCCTCATTTCATCAGTCTGTTGATGTAAGTCTATGGTCTGGAAGATAATCAGGGTTAATTTTGGGAGAGAAAGCTCCTAGTTCAGGTTTTGATCCATACATGATAATGCTGATCATAATAAATTATTGGTGCTAATCAATTCCTCTACTAGAACCAGAGGATTTGCTGGAGATTAAGTCAAAATGTGGAGAAGTAGGCTAGAATAGAAAGAAAAAAATCAAGGACCTAGATAATTCACAAGCTAATTGAGCTTCTTAATAATTGAGTTAACTTTATAAATCAAATGTCTCACAAATGCAGAGACACATTAAATAGAATGATTACATGCCTGGCATGAAGGGCATGATTTGGTTATTTTGGGAAGGAAGCTGCCCAAGAATAGCAACTGGATCAGTCTTTTAGGTAACTATACTGATGTCAAAGGGAAAAGCTAGGCCCAAGGGAAGAGAGGGAATATAATTCTGTGCCTGATCCTTTCTCCAGATCTCATCTAGTTGCATGAAACTGAAGCACCTGATTGAGCAATTGAGCATGATGTGTTCTCCTGACCATCCTTCTAAAACCATTTTCCACCAGTTTCTACCTTATGATGGTGTTTCAGTCACCTGCACTTACAAACAGGTGCCCAAATTGGCCCTTTCTCCCCCTCTTTAGGACAAATAGAAGGGCTCTGGAAGAGAACTCCTAAGAGCTCTTCTTCTGTAAAACGGGGTCTTCCTGGGTTAGGATGGGTGCAGACTGAATCTGAAAAAGCAAAGCAAATAAGTTAACGCACAGACGTACACACACATTCAGGGCAAATATAGAGAGAAGCTGAGGACTTCTGACAAGAACAAGGTTAATAAACATTGTGGAATTAATTAATTACATGTTCAGGGAGAATGTTCACATGTAGTTCTATTACCTGTTACAGCTGAGGGGCCTAACCTGGATCTGGGTTATCTCTTAAGTTGGCTCACACCAATGCTACTTCATTAATTATCCACATGCTGTACCATGCTATAAAAATTCCTAAGTGAGGCCATTGCAAATGTTCAGATTTGGAAGGCAACCTAAAGTGTTTCATTAATATTTTATTTCAATTTCAATATAGTTGTAAGAGGGGACATATGGCACTGACTAACCTAATTTCCTTTAAGTCTGACTCAAAAGATCAATTCCACTTTGCACAATATTTAATAAAGGAGCTCCTGAGATGGATATGCTGATGACAATGACAATTCTAATAACATCTTGCTCTATGCCACCTTATTATTCAAATGGCAGAACTGGCATAATCATCATTCTAGGCATTCTAAGGTTCTGATGTTACTATTAATGTAATTATGCTGAGTTTTGCAAGAAGAGGGTTGTGATGGAAGACAGTAAGATGGTTTTTTTTTTTTTTTGTTTTTTGTCTTTTTCCGGGTCTGGCAACAGATCACAACCCTCAGTGTCGCACCCGTACCGGACCGGGGACCGGCAACGGGATTGCAACCCTCGGTGTTGCTCCTGCTCCTCACTCAGCCAGTGAGTGGGAACCGGTCTGTATGTGGGATCCGAACCCTCGGGCGGGAGCGCTGCCGCGCTTCCCAAGCGGCGCACTATCCAGTGCGCCACGGGGCCGGCCCAGATGGTTATTTTTTTTTAATGTGTCAACCTGTGTCTACACAGTTTTTTTGTTTTTTGGCAGCTGGCCAGTTCAGGGATTCCCAACCTATGACCTTGGTGTTATAAGGTTGCACTGTTTTCCATGACTGAATAAGCATTGGGAATGACAGTATGAAGAGAAGTACTAGAAAATAATAATTTAAAATGTGTTAAAAAATTGAGATGATTCTGATAAATATTTCCTTATCAACTATTTGAAGTCTGTCAAGAAATTTATTGTAAAACATTTGAAAAGCCCCAGAATAAAACTGATTTCAGAACCATACTTTTCAAAACTCAGAGTATCTAGATGTTCTTAAAGGCTCTCAAAAGAATGCTAAGGGAGAAAGTAAAAGGAAGAAAGGGATAGGTATATGATTTTCATTTCAAAGTGACAGACAATGAGACATAGTGAAGATAGAGTTTCATTAAAATAAAACATTTGCACATGCATACACATGTAAACACATGTATTCTCTCAAACACACACATAAAATAAAAAACATGGCAAGAAAAGCAGCCAGAAGAGCTGCCTCCTGGACCAGAGCCATACTGGCCTAAATGAAATTTCAAAATTGGTAAACCCAGGTTCTTGGAATCATGATACATGAAGTCTGGCCAAAAAGCCCAAAGACAGAGGACATCCCAAAAGACAAACTGAGCCCAGCTCCTGGTTCAGTCTGATCTTAACCTGGGCTTCCTGCTCCATTTGTTGAAGATGACCCTGTAAGGCATCCGTCTGAGCTGCAGTCTGTTCCACAAGGTCCTGGAAGGATCTCTGCAGTTCATTCAGAAACCTCAGCATCTGTCGATTCTGCTGGGAAGACAAGTCTTGGGCATGCTCAGAGATAAAGAACTGAATATCAAAAGCGAGAGCATCCAGCTGAGATTTCCTTTCAGCCATGGGCTGTTTCAAATCCTAAGGTAAGCAGGAAAAGTGGAAAAATAAATAAATAAATAAAACTTTTATTTTTCCATCCTTGAAGAAGACGTTGATTCTTATCAAAGAGCCAACAGAATAAAAGAGAGGCTAATTTCCTGTATTTTTATATGATAGTCCTCACTCGTCCGAGGGGGTTATGTTCCAAGACCCCCAGTGGATGCCTGAAACCGAGAATAGTACCAAACCTTACATATACCATGATTTTTCTTACACATACATATCTACGATAAAGTTTAGTTTAATTAAGACTAAGTTAATCTGGCACAACACACTGCTGTTGGTTGGAACACGTTTTCTGTTCATGTCTTCCACCCACAAAATTAATTCCATTTCCATTTGAACTCAGCACGTATCACATACTATGGCCATAATTTTTGCAGTTTGAGGTGTGACAGCAAAACTAGCACGAATTTCTTTTTCTTTCTTCACAATTTCACAAATAGAAGATTCATTCTTAATGAAGACCTTAGCAACCTCGGTATACAATTTTTTTCTTTTCTTAAGTTGAGAACTTTCACCTTTTCACTTAAAGGAACCACTTTATGGCTTCTCTTTGGCACATCCAAATTGCCAGCATCACTATTCCTATGCTTTGGAGACATTAAGTAAACTAAGGATTACCTGAACACAAGCACTGAGATACCATGACAGCTGATCTGACAAATGAGACAGCTACTAAGTGACTAGAAGGTGGGTAGCATACACAGTGTGAATAAACTAGACAAAGGGATGATTCATGTTCTGGGCAGAATGGAGTAAGATGCCTCAAGCTTTCATCCCACTACTGAGAACAGCGTGCAATTTAAAATGTATAAATTGTTTGTTTATGGAATTTTCCCTTTAATCATTTCTGGCTGTGGTTGAATGCAGGTAACTGAAACTACAGAAAGTGAAATCATGGATAAGGGAGAACTACTGTAATTGGCACTGATAATTCTAGGACCAGACTAGCACTGGAAGTCTTTCTCACTTTTGGTCTCTCCAAACTCCTCATAAATTACAATTAAATTTCTTCTACTGCACCTTGATTTCTAAATGCAGTGAGCTTTCAATTATTTATGCTAACAGAATTATACTATTCCTAATCCAAAATATCTGTGAATGTTTGGAAAGTATAACACGCATTTCCGATCTAAGCTAAGATGTACCTGTCTAATTACATTTTCTTTCCTTTACTTTCTTTTTTTGTTGTTGTTGCTGGCCAGAACAGGAATCCGAACCTTTGACCTGTGTGTTCCAACACCATGCTTTAGCCAACTGAGCTAAATGGCCAGCCCCAATTTTATTTTCTTCGGTTCAAATATCTATTTGCATTTGTCTAGCAGTGAGTTACTGATAGGCCAGTACTGAGAAAATATAAAATTTATTTGTGATTCACTAAAATTTGACTTTTATGGTAAATAATACTACTTGTACAATTTTAAACTGTGAAGGATTATAGTCAAACTTTCTTATAGTTATACTACTTCCTTAAAGTAGTAAGAACTGCCCAAACTCAAAAATCATGTGTTTTCAGGCAAGTAAAAGCATGTAATTTTCCCACAAACATTTAGTGATCATCAACTATGTTATACTGGATGCAATAAAAACAGGATATCAATATCTCCATCACTTTGAAATAGAGAACAATCAATCAATCCTGCAAAGCAGGCAGGGAGGGCTTCTTGGATACTGATCTTAAGACAATGCTTTCTTTTTTTTTTTTTTGTCAGGAAGTAGGATTTATTAGTGGGCATGAGTAAGGAGTGGGCAGCACAGTGGAAGCCCTCACAAGTTCAGTGCCCACCGCTTGTCTGGGGACCACGGTTGGGGATGTATTTAACCCCACAACCATCCAGGATGAGCCACTTCTCAGCCAACCATGTCTTCAAGCTCCACTTCTTTGAGATGTTCATCTCCTGGCAGCCAGGGAACTTGAACTTAGCCCTGTGTAGGGTCTCAATTACATGCTCCTTGTGCTGCAGCTTGGCATGGATGAACATGACAACTTGGCGAATGTGAACCCTGGCCACTGTGCCCTAGGGCTTTCCAAAAGCATTCCGTATACCTGTCTAGAGTCTGTCAGCCCCAGCACAGGACAACATCTTGTTGATGCGGAAGACACGGAAGGAGTGGAGCCACATTTGGATATGAACGCCATCTTTGCCACAACTTTTTACCATGTTCTTGTTGGCACAAATATAGGCAGCCTCCAGGGCTTCAGAGGAGAGCTGCTCATATTCATCTGACACCATGTGGCCACAAGGTGGGAACTCATCCACTCTTGCTTTCTTTCCCCTAAGGTCAGAGATGCGGATCTTGGCATTAGGGACACCTCGGCAGAAGCAAGACTTTGGGTATGGCTTGTTCTTACAATACCAGTAACCAGGTGGGGCGACAGCCCATAGAGACATGAGGATCTTTGGTGGTATGCCAAAGGGAAAGAGCACAATGCTTTCTTAATCCGTGAACATATGGATTTAGGAAACTATTCACAAAGGAAATAGGGCTTAGGCTGTTTTTCTCTTCCCATAAGAGAATTCATATAAGTTATAAATTGGGGAGGGCACCAATGCATGAAATACTCTATGTTTTTATATCTCATACTATGTCACAGGAATTTTTTTTATATCTTAGCAAGCAGATAAAATTTGCTACTCTCTTCCTCAGTGATATCTTTGGAAAAAAGGTATGAAAAAGAGAGGCAGGCCAACTCTTACAAGATAAATAGGGATGAGATTGTATACAAGGTTGACCACAGACAAAAGTTCAGGTCTCCTTCTCTTCAGATTAAGGAAAAGAGAGAGGATAGAACAGAAGAGGAGACATCTCTAGTTCTGATGTTCTGAAGAGTTTAAGGAGAGGGACATCCCTCTATAGCAGAGGGCTTATAAACCGACATGAGTAATATCTGATACAATCTTAAGTATAACAACAACAACACAGACAATGTTGGGGGGAAATATCTCTGGCTCATATGTATCTTAGAATCTTAACTTTTCTCTCACTGACTAATAAAAAGAACCGGTTAATTTGGGGCTTAATAAGAAGAAAAGCATCTCTCCAGATCGGGGGTCAGCAAACTATTGCCCCTAGGCCAAATCTGTTTTTGTAAATAAAGTTTTATTGGAACACATCCACAACCATTTGTTTATGTACTATCTATGGCTGCTTTAATGTTTCAATGGCAGGGTTGAGTGATTGCAACAGAAATGGGCTATTTGCATATGGCCTGCAAAGCCTAAAATATTTATTATCTGGCCTTTTACAGAAAAAGTTTGCCAACCTACGCTCTAGATCACTGATCAAAAGTTCTCCTGAAATTAATGTGTGTATGTACATGTGTGTGTTTGTGTAGGATTAGATCTTGGGCAAAACAGAAACAAGGGACAGATCCTAGATGCTCAGTTATAAAGAAGAGATGAAGCTGATAATGATACATCATTCTGTAAACTCTCTCTCAGAGAATAGCTAAAAGTAAAAATAATCATAATCACTAAAGCTCCAGGGGTATGATAACTTAAAAAACTAAACATAGTTGACTTTATTTCTGAAATGGAAAGTCAGACTTTCTAAGAAAGGTAAGTACCTTGGTTTGCCTAGCAGGAAAATGAAACTGATAAAACTCAAAAGAAAAAAAAAAAAAAAAAAACAGGTTTGAGAATGAGTAGAGAGTTTACCTCATACTGTTGGAGATAGTGATTCAGGCTGGCAACATCTGTTTCCTTATTATATCCCTTGCTTTTCAGAATAAGATTGGTATTACCAACCCAGGCTCTCAGATCTTGAAGTTTGCCTTCTAGATGCATGTGCTGACTTGACACTCTAGTCTTAAGAAATAAATGGTGAATCAGATTATAAAAATCTCCAAGCCTGCCCAGAATTTGTGAGCCCTTGTGTATAAATACAAGATGCTACCTTTTTTACTTCCACAGCATTCTGGAGATGGAGTAGTCTGGAACTCCAGGTATCATTCACAGAGCTGAGAGACTTCTGAAGATTCTTGGCATCTTTCTCTAGAGCCTTCAACAGTTGAGCAGGGACTTCTTGAGGCTGGCTAATGATAATCTGATTCACACACTCTAATTCCTGGCTCACCAAGGTGGACAGATCCTTTAGCTCCCTGTCTAATACCTGAGGGGATAAAGTGGAGTTATCTCCAAAATCTAGGCCAAAAATCTTGCCATCTGGGGATCAGCTGTCAACACATTTCTCTTTCACCTCATGCCTACACAGGCTTTAGTGTTTAGGAAATGTTTTTATGTATTAACATTTTTATATTAATCAGTTTACTTGGTTCTCATAATCATGAGGTAGGCAGGGTAGATGTTATTATTCTGGATTTACAAAAGAGATGCCTCAGTACTCAAATATGAACTTTTTTGGTCTGAGGTCACCCAGCTGGTAAGCAGAAGAGCCAGGAATTGGATTCAGATTTGACTCAGTGCAATGTTCCCTCCACTACCACTTGCTGCCTCTCCCCAGGGAGCTGTTATACAGAATTAATGTACAGCAAAATAAGTCAATCCAAAGGAAACCTCTTCCACTCCAAATTCTAAGAGAACTGGCTGGCTGGTTAGCTCAGTTGGTTAAAGTATGGTATTAAAACACCAAGGCCAAGGGTTCGGATCCCCTTACAGCCCAGCCACCAAATTCTAAGAGAAGGGAACCAAAGAACATAATGACATCCCAAACCAGCTTTCCCGCTCAGCTAGTCTATAATATCCTGTCCTCAACAGAGAAGCCAGAAATAAGCTGTGGAAAAGCTTGGTAGTTCTTCTGGGCATCGTCCTCACTTCCCCTTCAGCCACCCTGCTCAAGGCCATACTCTGGATATTGAAAGAACTGGTGAACCTCTAATCCCTGTCTTCACTGTGACTCCAATCCTGAGACAACTCCAAACCTCCAACTTCAGTGAAAGAGCTACTCTTCCTCCATCTCAAGGCTGTCTTTCTATGTTCTCAGGGACCTGATCCTGTTACTTATCACTTCCTCTTTTCTCTAAATTCAAGTTCTCCTTTTTTTATTGGCTATTTCTCCTCAGCCCAAAAACCTGTTTAAAACATTTCTCTTTCAACCCATCTCCTCTAGCTAGTGTCCTACTCTTTCCTTGCCTGTACTACAAAGCTTCTGGAAAAAATGATTTACATTAATTGTCTCCACTTTCCAACCTCCCATTTATTCTCACAGCAAGCTACTTTATATTCTACCACCTCAGTGACACTGTTCTTATCAAGATCACCAATGACTTTCAGGTGCTAATTTTCCCCTTAGTCCTTACTGGACTCAGTCTCCCTGCAGTAGTTAATATTGCTAACTGTGAGATCAGTATTTCCTGGTGTTCTTCAGAGATGCCCAGTTGTACTTTTTCAATCTATTTTTTTATCCTTTAAATGATGTTTTTTAATGTTTTTCTTCCTGAATAGTCTCTATTTCCTCCAAGTCCCTTTTTCTTTTCTTTGTGTTGGCCTGTCTTTTGTATTAGAAGCCTTCTGGATGCCATGTTTGAGAATAATGCCCTGAAAACCTGACTACAAGTCTATCTGCAGAGGTGGGACTGCTGATTATAGTCTTCACTGAGGGTGACAGAGTTGGGCCATATAGTTGGGAAACCATTGATATCAGTAACATTAGGTCTTTCCCCGTGGGCTGGTCAAACCATGAGCAAAGAAAGGATGAAGCTCAAGATTCAGTATATAAACTTTCAGTTAATCCTACTGATTTCAGTATGGAATCCTTACCTTCAACTGTAGCTGATCTCCTAGTCTACAGATATCCTGTATTAAGTTCCTCAGAGGATAAACCTCCAGTCTTGTGTTAGAGCTCAGCATGAGCAGTTGCCAGGCTATGTGAAGTTAAGTTGGAAGTCTGAAGGCCTAATTGCTTCTTAAACCAATTACAACCTGTTTGCATATCCATTTTCATCTCTGCTTTCTGGTGCTACCAAGTTTTGAGGCTTTGGGGAGTTCAGTATAAATCAGGTTGTTCCTTAGCTTCTTCCACTACAAGTTTAAGATCTGGTTTTCTCTGGTCTGCTCAGGCAGTTACCTCTTCATCCATCCGCTTTCTAACTTCTAAAATTTTACTGCTATTTTCTCCTCTCGTTTTCTTTCTCTCTGTGAGTTTATGTGGGGTTTTTTTGTTTGTTTTTGTTTTTGGCGGCTGGCCGGTAAGGGAATCCGAACACTTGACCAACCCTGGTGTTATCAGCACCGTGTTCTCCCAAGGGAGCTAACCTGTCAGCCCAGTTTATGCATTTTTAAAAAATACTTTTGTCTGATGTCTTAGTGGAGTTTTGGGAAGTAATAGAGATTAACTTATATAGCTAACCTACTATATTAATCCCTCAACATTTCCTGCTTGAATTACTGCAACAGTTTTCTAACTGATCACGCTGCTTTTCAGCTTACCTTATTCAATAGTCTAAGATGATACAGATAACAAGTGGTGGTAATGAGATTCATAGTCTGTCTGAAGTCTGTTAATCTGCCCATTATAAATCTTGTCCAGTCTATACAAACCTAGCTCATCCCACAATTATCTGATAAGGGCCCGAGATTTTTTACCCTGGAATAAAGTGCCAAGCAGGTCCTTTTAAGCTTTGAAATCTTCAAGAAAAATGGAGGCAGCTATCTTGAAGTCAGCGGGCCAGGTAGAAGTCCCTGGGAACCTACCTTGGCCTGACACAGAAGATCCTGTAGTCCTGCTATGTTTAGCTCCAAAGGTTGAATCTGTTTGGTCCTCATTTCAATGTCCCGTAACAGAGACAGATAGGATACTAGCTTTTCATCATGTTCTAAACAGAGACGCCGGTTAAATACATTCTGTGGAACCAAAAAGAAAACTCACTCAAATTTCAACATTCTCCTTTAAGTTGCCTTTTAAAGTAGGCAGTGTTTCTTGTTAGGCAAACAGAAGCAATTTTTACTACACATAAGGTGAAATGAAATAAAATACGTTATTCTGTCTAAGTCAATACAATCAACAGATGAAAGTGATTTTATTAACTTCTGCAGATAGCAGATCATAATTATCAATCTACAAGCATATTTTAGGAAAATTTCCAAAACTTATTCTGATTTTAGGTGTCATCACCTCAGTATTTCAAATTAGATCCTATGTTAGCTTCCAATTTAAAACCCTTGCAAATTTTAGGAAGACATTCAGAGCCATTGCCTAATTTTCCAACAACTGTACTACAGTTTCCACTTCACTTATTATGAGTAAGGTTGAGGGTTTTTTTTAATTTGGCTTTTTTTTTGGCAGCTGGCGGGCAACAACTGTATTATAAATCTATGATAAATTGAGTCATATCTTAGGGAATCTTCCAGTACCCTAAGATGTACATATGCATACTATTATACACATGTAAACTCTGTATTCGGTTAAAAATTTTAGTATTAAACTAGTCATACCTTTAAAAAAATGCAAACAGACCACTGGGAAACTTACCTGAGTTGCTCTGAAGGGCTCTGGGTTTACATCTTCATTTCCTTTTCTCCCAGGTGCAGTCATGGAGGAAGTCTGTTCACTGCCAGGGCTCTCTCTGAGTTTTTCCTGTGGTGTCTTCCCATCCATCTTCACTGTAGAGCATGACGTTAGGGGTACTGTCTTTTCTTCACTCGTCTCCAGAATAGTGGGACTAATGATGGAAGCTTGTTGCCTTGTATTCTCTTTTTGAGACACATCTTTGAATTGTTTCTCTGGAAGAAGAGATACCAAGACTCTGGGACCTCTCTGAGTCACTATGTCTTCACAGGACCCTGCTTCTAGACCTGTAACTATAGGGTTTGCCATTTCTAGAAATTTCTCTATATTTATCTCCTGAGTTGTTGCTATTTGAGATTTGAGAATTCCACGAAGTTCACGATCACTTTTGCTGACCTGATGTTGATGGTCTTTTTTGTCTGAGAATTCTAGATAACTGACTTCTTTTGGATCTACTCTAGAAACTGTAATTTCTTCCAATTCATGAGCTCTTGTTGAGTCAAAATGTACTTCTTGGTTCAACTTTTCTTTATATTCATTAAATGAGAAAATCAGATCTTTGGTTTCCTTAGTCTTAGAAGTAAAACAGGAATCCTGACAATAGTTGGCCTCCTGTCTGGTGGTTCTTTGGAAAGACTTGTCTGTTTTGGAAATATGGAATGTGTCTGTAACTTGGGCTTTTCCAACTGATTCCTGGTAGTGCAATCCTTCAGGTCTTGGGGTCATAGAAGAGAATTGTTCATTCTGGGCCCCACCAGTAATTTCCTGAAATAAATTTTCTTTTGGTTCTAAATTCAAGCAGAAGCTTAAATTTTTTACTTCCCCTTCATTGACCTGTTTACAGCTGAAGAATGTTAAAGTATCTTGATTTTTTAAAGAAATTCCTTTGGCTCTCACTTGGGAAGAAGAGTCTTCAATTTTATAAATACTAGAAAGTCCCATCTCTCTATCAGCTTCTTTCCCTTTTTCACTTGTAGTCATTTCCATAGGTTGACTTTTTATATTAGAGTCACACTCCTCTCTAATGGCAGTTTTCTGACTCAGTTTTTCTTCAGAAAGAACTGCTCGTTTACATGTTTTCACATTTTCTTCCACAATCATTTCCCTCTTCTCTCTCTTACTCTTGTTCCTGGTATTCAACGGTTGCTGCAAAACCTGCTCACTCAGCAATTTACCTGACAGTTCACGATTTGATTCTTGAACTTCCCAAGTCATTTCCCCTTGATTTTCTCTTATTTCTTCAGAATCTAGACCTGAGGTGAACTGCTTCATATGAGAGAGAATTTCTACTTGTGTTACTACTTTTTCCTGCTCTTCATCTGCATTTTTTTCCACGTTATTTCTAGCCCCCTCTTTGAGTTTAGTATCACAAACTTCTGAGTTAGAGTGTGTCACTAAAATTTGACCCCAAGACTTACCTTTAAGATTATGAGAAATTCTGATGCTGACAGGTTCTTTAGTATCCAGAGAAGCTCTCTGCTTATCTGGATCCTTGCACTCCAATTCCTTTAATGAAACTTCCCTGCTCTTTTTCATCTGCTCTTCATCTGAAACTCTCACTTTAACCTTTTCTTGTGTAGACTGGCTTTCAATCTGAAATAATCTCTTACTTTTTCCTTTATCACAACTCATTTCAGCAGTCTGATTATAAGCAATTAACATTTCCTTTCTTAGAAATTCATTCTTTAATTCACATACTTCAATTCCATCTTGCTTTTCAATCTGAGCCCTGTCATCACTGGACTCCAAAGGATCTTTTTGGATCATAGCTGCCAGTTCAGGGCTGATAAATCTTTTCTCAATCGCTTCCTTTAAAGTCACTCTCTGACCATTAAATATGTCAATGATTCCTCCTCTTAACACCTGATGAGATGCAATAGTTCTAACCATGTTTTCATCCACCAATTTCTGTTCCAAAGCTGATGCCAATGTCAGTCTATTTCCTGTAGCAGTATCTATGATTCCACCAGTATTTGCCTGAGCTTCCAGAACCTTCAGTGTAGATGCAAAGTCTACTTTCCCAAGCTGAATTGCTTGAGACAATGTAAGTACTATGTCACTCACCCCGTCTTTAATGTCTGAGAAGGGAATTACTTCTAGATATCTCTGTCCAGATTCAGTATCAATCTTACATTTCTTTACTAATTCTGAGTAGGGAACAATTCTGTAATTCTCAGGATCTACAATCCCATGCATTATTCCTGGAGACAATCCTGCTTTATTAGTTAGCAATCCTTCTTTTTTAGCTTCTGCCCAGGTCAATCTCTGGCCAGAAATGAGATCCAAAAAGTTTCTAGTAACTGCTTGAATTTCTTGGATTTCTCTTTTTAAGTCTGGGGTAACAAGACCTAATTTTATGGCCTCAGGGAGGGAAATAGTTTCCTTTGTTTCAGGATGAAAAAACTGATGGAGCTTTAAGCTCTCAACTCTTTTCAGTTGCTTGGCTAAATCTTCACTGATCAAGCCATGTTTAAAGGCATTATCGACAGAAAGCCTCATCCCAGATACATGGTGAATGATACCTCCATCTACCACCTGCTTAGTCAACAAATGAATGGCCTCCTCTCTCTCCAAAAGACCTCTGTCAATGGACTGCATAACAGATAAAGAGGCTTTGCTGTCAGGGTCCATAAGTCCTGTTGTTTCCATTTGTAAACTAATTAATCTCTCTCTAATGTTTTTTTCAGCATCTCTGCCTTTGGAAGCTTTCTCCAGATTTATAAGCTCTGTCTGATCAGCACTGTCTACCAAGCCAAGATTTGAGGCCAAAGTTACTGAAACTTTTTTGCCTCGTTTCAAGTCAACAATTCCACCAGTCACGACCTGCCCCTCTAAAATTCTGGTGGCTGTTTTCTCGTCAAGAAGTCCAACTACTACTGCATCCTTTACAGAAAATAGTGTGTGAGTACGGGGGTCTAAGACACCACTTATAGCTTTGTCTGTCATGAGGACATTATGTAATAATTTCTCATCCATCAGACCTTCATCAATGACTTCTTCGGTTGACAAGGACTCGCAGGTCTGAGAGTCAAAGAATCCCCGAAACATGTTCAGCTTTCCCATAAGTTTCACAGCAGTATGGCCGGGCACGATGCCTTGGGTGACTGCTTCATTTAGTAAAAGCTTTTGACCTGTTTGCTCATGAAAAATACCACCATCTAATAACTGTGCAGATAATTCATTTAAGGTAGCTTCTTCAAGCAATTCTGAAGGATGACTGCATGACAGGGAATTTTCACTATCATTATTGTCCTCGTTGGTCTTTTCTCTTATCATACTACCACCTGCAATGTCTTCCCCTTCTTGACTTTGTTTATGGTCACTTTTAGCCAAATATGTTTTATTTAACACTTTCTTTTTGTCCGGAGAATAAATATTCATATCATTTTCAGACTTTAGTTCTAATTTTAAATCTGTAGTTTTCTCTACCTGAAATTGTGACTTTTTACTTTGGGGTTTTATGAGAGGTCTTCCAGTTTCCCCTGGAATATATTCAATCTCAAGAGTGTTTGCTTGTTCTTTCTGACATGTGAAGGAAGTCTTTCTGAGAGCTTGCCATTCTTCCTTTAGCCTTTCAACAGAAAAAAGATCTTTGTAAACCACCAAGGGCACATCTTCTGCTTCCTCGGGGGGTACCGTCGGGAGAAGTCCTCTGCTGACATTTTCTCTTGTACACATTTCTGTTTGGTCTTCCTTTTCGATATCTAACAACTGCCTTTCTAACTCTGATTTCACTTTATTTATGACCTTCAAAGTGTCAACATTTGGATTTTCCACTTTTTGTTCTCTTATAAACAGATCCTTTTCGGGGTTCTCCACAGAAGAACCTTCTTCTTCTACAATGATCTTTTTGTCTTTTGCTTCAGTGCAATCTTCCTGATTGAGAGATTCTTCATTCTGAGAAGAAAATTGGAATGCACATGGCCTCACACTCAGCCCATCACTGAAATTTTCTGTGATTTTCATATTAGCTGATTCTTGCAATTCCTCAGGAGTTTCTAGTCTTTGGTGCCCAATTCCAAACACTTCTGGAGGGCTTATTTGATATTTACCTCTGGAGGTTAGTGTCTCCATCAGCTCTTTATCTAACAGAAGCAGCCTCTGTCCATTCTGCACATTAATATAGGTATGAGTCATCAGTTGAAACAACAGCTTCTCACTACGACTTGCTATGTCCTCGGGTTGGCCCTTGCTGTATGGTGGAACTGCTGCTCCAGGATTAATGTTCGATTTGTTTTGTTCTGAAGAGTCTGCTAATTGCATGTGTGGCATCACATCAGGTATATAAAGTGACTTTAAGTTATCGACAAGATCTTTGTCCAAGATACCATTTTCTATTGCTTTCTTCCAGGAACAAATCTCTGTGGTCGCTGGTAAAAATAGAGCCTTAATATGCTGTCGGTTACTAAGGATTTTATGTGCTAGTTCAGTAGACACAATACCTTGTTCTAGGGCATCTGTAATTGGGAGGATGTCTCCAGATTCAGGCCATAGTAACCCCATGAATGACCAGAGGGACTCCAGAATCACAAGGGCGATCTTAGCAGCTACTAGATCATTGCTCACTGCTTCATCTATTGTCAACCTACACCCAGTGACAGTGTCTATGATGCCTCCCATCTGAAGCTGCCTTATCAGAATAGCACAGGCCATATCTTGATCAATCAAATTATGTCTTACAGTCTCTTCCACTGTAAGTCTGTGTCCTGTTCTTGGGTCTACTATGCCACCAGCAAAAAGCTGAGCTTCCAGCAGCCGAACAGTTACTTGCCTATCTATTAGCCCTTCCTGAACTGCACGGAAAATGCTAACCTTCCGGCCAGATTTCAAGCTCACCATTCCCCCTGCCAATTGCTTGATGGGCAGCAATTTCAACCCTGATTCCTGGTGGACAATACATCTCTGCATCAGATCTAGCAAACCGATTTTCTCAGCTGTGTTGGGGTCTATCAAATTCTTAGATGACCTCAGGTGAGACTCTAACACTGAATAAAGCCATGCAGAAATAAGGCCTTGATGAAAAGCCTCTTCCAGGTTACTGAAACCTCCAGTTGCCAGGTGAGCTTCTAAGATTTTCAGTCCAACTCCCTCACTGATTATTCTCTTTTCAATTGCTTCCACCACAGAAAGAGGGCCTTTACTCTCAGTAAGTCTGCTTATTAAGGACAAAGCATCCTGTAGCTCCCGGAGCTGCTGGTACATCTGGGGATTGATGAGGTTTCTGGCTAGACCCTCCTCCAAAGAGAGGTTTTCACTGGTCTCAGGGGCAATGAGGCCCGACATGATAACCTGGGATTCCAGAAGCACAAGGCCTGTGTCTTGATCAATGAGTCCCTTTTGCATGGCTCTGAAGATGGGAAATATCTCCACTGTGCCTAGGTCAATCACCCCAGCAACTGCTCTGCAACCCTAAAAGAAAAGTGAAAAAGAAAACTGAGTCAAAGCCAATGGGGAAGCACAACTGTTGAGTCATTCAAAGAACTATAGTATATGAAGTTCTCACCACGAGAAAAACCCAGCCCTAACACGTAGGAAATACTCTGAAGCAAGCAAGTCTGGCAGTGTTAATGCTAAAAAAGAATTTTTCTATACTGCAGAATGTTTAACAGGGCCAGAAGTTCACAGATTACTTGAGGTATGGCAGCATTAAGCATATCCCAGTGACAAGCTCTACAAAGTGGCAAGCAATGAAAATGAGAGGACAGATATTTCTAAGACTAAATCATTATAAAGGTTCTTACAGACACATACCAGTTCCCAAAAAGTGAGAATTCAACACCATGTAACAACTTCTCAGTGTTGCAAACCATGCAGAAGACTCAGGAATTAGCACTTCCTGCTGATGAGTATAGCAGAACTGGTCCATAGGAAGAGAAGAGAGATTTAAGCAGCCCAATAGCCAAAGAACAGTTGTGCCTCCCAATAAATGGGCCTGTATAAACTACTGATGCAACTGTTCAGCAGTTGGAGCAGTTGTACTCTTGGCGGCCAATGCTAGCTTCTCCCAAGGCAATGTCTCCGAGTTAAATTCGTTTTAGGCCTTGAAAGTGGTAAGTCAAGGAAAGAACAGATTGGGGACCCTTGCCTCTGAAACCACTAGTAACTTTTCCTCTGGTCCAGGATAGAATGGGTAGTACAACAAACATGATTACCACTACTGCATATTATTAGACTTATTGAGCACTGATATTTAATTCTTGCAACAATCCTATGAAAACGATTGTTTTAATTTTAGTTTGCAGATTAAATAATGAGGCACACAGAGATTAAGTAACTTGTCCAATGTCACAAAACTAGTGAGTTCCAGAAAGAAACCAAGGTTTGACTCTCAATGTTGTGCTGTTATACTGCCTCCTAGTCAGATCCAGAAGTGCATGATAGATAAGTAAAGCAGAGTCACTTCTTACACAGGAGTTAGGTCCTAAGGTCAGTGAATAAAGCAAACCTCATACACTGTCAAAAGTACCCTCACAAATCCTAAAAACAACGTCTAAAGAATTCCCAATTTGAAGCCTTTTATCATCACAGAAAAATATTTAAATTTTAAATCATTCAAGTGTTTAACCACTTTGAACACTTCATGACTTTTATTACTCTCCAATTTTTCACCGCTTCTTCTTCATGTTCATTATCTTCATATTCTACAGGTTATTTTATCTGTCCCTCTTTGGTCAGTGTTACCTTCTGATATTATTTAACTCTTTAAATTATTCATGGAGGATCTTGTTGAAGCAATTGCCAATCACTTCCCTGCTTCCTAGATAATGCATTTCATTTCTGTCTCAGTGAGATATAAGGTCCATAAGAACAGATACTATGCCCATTGAGTGTCTAGGAATAGCACCTGCAGTTCAATAAACATTTGATGAATAAGTGAGAAAACAGATAAATAGTAAGGAAACCTTTAAAATCATCAAGCCATTCTCCCGATTTTAAAAACATGCACTGAGGATTTCGAGCTTGATGAGTTGCACACCATAAGAATGCAGAATGGACAGCAAACGAAGGAACAGCAGATTTGGTTCGCATTTCCATTTCTCTGTATGTGTTCAATTAATGGAGTAACTGGCAGCCTTCTCTACACTATTTGTAGTATTATTTGCTATCCCTCCTTATTTTCTGACCCAGAATGTAGAGTTCAATTAGTATAAACTAAACATGAATATTATACAAATCCATTATGTGTCTATTTTATCGATTGAAAGAAAAAGCTCATGGGCATATGACTCTGAGACACCCAAAAAATTCCTTTTAGAAAATCCATGCAAAGATTATTCAGAAGCAGAAAATATGACAAAGGAAAAGATTTTTTTGCAAACTTCTAATTCTTTCTGTGAGATTTATAGATTCTCAAAAATGCTACCATTGAAGAAAGGCCTCGAGTCTAGCCAAAGAGAAAAGACTACACTGTTCTTCCAACACTCTCATAATTGGAAGATAGGCAGGAAATCCTGAGCTGGGAAGTTATACAGAGAAACCCATTTCAGTCCTACCACAAACATGGACGTTCTGACCTCAACAAGCATTACAAGACAGAGAGAGAGAAGGAAAGAAAACATAAAAGGCTTCTACTTACCAGAGTTGCAGGGCACGCCTCGGGCAGATAAGAGATAGAGCCTTATGGAGCAGCTGAGCCGTATCACACACACAGTGTAAGCTTGGTGTTAGCGTCCAGCATGCGACTGTTTGTTTTTTTGCAAAAAAGAACCCCAAACAGGTCGTCCTCTTTTCCCTTTGTGCATTTGTGCTTAAACTCCAAAGGGTTAGTGAAACTTGTAAGCAAGGATGTCAGTTAATAAGAACAATACTTCACATGAAACACACACAGTACAGGGGACACATCATGCTCAATGTAGTGGTGCTCAGCAGCTTGTCTTCCTTTCTTTGTTTTTACCCCCACTTTTTTAAACTTTCAAAATGAGAACTGGATGTTCTCAGCAAGCAAATGTTAAAACTTTTCACATACTCCCTTATATGGTGAAGCAACAAGCCATTAGAAGTGGGCTACCTTACACAGAGAATTGTACACCAGCACATTTTTTTAAAAACGCCATCAAATTATAGCTGGTTCTGTCTTGTGGTCTTTACAGCTTTAGCTCCTGCTGCACAAATTTCATCTCCAAGGACCACAGTCAAGGCATATTTGTCTGAATATCATTTTCAGCATCACCTCGACCAAATTTGATTATTACATGAGCTTGAATTTTGGACTTCCCCACATAAGTTGGCCATTGCTTCACAACACAGGGAATAAGCAGGCAAACACACATATATATCCCAGAGACACATGACTGTAATATGGTAAGTGTACACACACGCACAATTATCCAGGAAGAACTTAGGACAACCAGCAGGAACTACAACAACTTTCATATGGTCCAGGAAATGAACATGGAGTGGGAACTGGTAAAAATGCCACACAATGGGATGGCTATGGGTGAGGGGAACCAGCGTCTCAGTCAGTGAAACTAATCCACGGTGTTCTCTGGAACTGAACATTTCTCATTGTTCACTCTAGGAAGGGAAGTGTTTCACAGTTTTTTCTTCCCAATATCCAGAACTCTTTGCTATCAATTTTTGAGTGACAATGCCACAAAGGAGTAATCTTATTACCCTGTGATCAGATATAATATAGAATTTGTGTTCTCCTTGACTGCTGTCTGCCACAAAACGGAAGACGACGAAAGTGGTGAACCAGTTGTAAAGGGTAAGCTGTGACTTCTAGTGTTTTTGACTGACCAATACATCGTGGAACCCCAGTAAAGAAACACAAGACAAATGGCTGCTAAGGTGAGGTTAAAAATTAAGTCACATTGGTCATGGAAAGCTAGTGATCGTGACACTCAATCACCAAAGCTGCTTTCATACCATTCAAAAGGTACCCTCCCAACATTTGGAGATAAAAACTAAAAGTACCTTTTGTTCTGTCTGCTGAGCCAACTGGCTGTGTAGCTGCTGAAGCTGGTTGGCTGAACCATCACAAAGGTCATGGTAAGCATTATTCAGGGCATTCAACTGCTCAGATATCTGCTCCTTCTCTTTCTCTGAGAGCCTGAAAGATGAAGCATTAAAGCTCTCTTAGAAAAAAACATTTCCCGAATTCCATTGCTTCAAAATCACTACTACTTCATCTTGGACGGATTATCTGGTCAGTTTTCCATGTTCATTGAATATGCATCTCACTCAGTTTTCCTGTCTGTCTCAAATCAAGTCATGATTCTTGGTGATGTCAATACTATCTCACCTGATGCTTGTAGTCCTGCAACCTTCTCAATCCAAATGTCCACCTCTCCACTTCAGCCTCACTCACACATGGAACATTTGGACCTGCCATCATGTGAAATTATTCTACTTCTGAAACCTCAGACAACCTTCTCAATCCAAATGTCCACCTCTCCACTTCAGCCTCACTCACACATGGAACATTTGGACCTGCCATCATGTGAAATTATTCTACTTCTTCAAGAATCCACTATGTGATTATAAGCCTGCCTTCTAATTTTATCTTTCTTTACTCCTTCTACACGTATTTTCTATTAAAAATGAAATATTTTAACAGAAGAATATAACAAACACTCATTTTCCTGTTACCCACCTATCCAGCTTTACCAAATTTTACTATTTTACCATATTTGATTCAAACCCTTTTCTAAGAAATAAGACATTATAGATATAATTAAGGCCCACAGTATATTTGTCACCAAGTCCATTCCTTTCCCTTTCTCCCCAGAGGTAATCACCTCTTGAGTCTGGTGAATCCTGAAACTTTTTTCATCCCACATTATATTTCTGAAAATGAACAATATTGATTCATGTTACCACTATCCATCAGCTCATTGAAATTTCCCAAGCCTTCCTTGATTCCTCCATTTTCTCTTAATCTAGCAGTCCTTTCTAGTATCTTCAGTTTCTTCTTTTTCCTTACTATTATCCTTACACTCTCTACGCATTAATCTGATAAAGCCCCAGCCCCAGATCAATTGAACCATTGGACTTCTCTGTTCCCACACACAAGCTGCTAAGTATATCCAATGAAGGAAAAAAATCCCACAATCATGAAAACAGATCCTACTGGTTTCCAACCTCAACTGGGCTTCAATACTTCCTGACAATCCTCTGGGAAGTTCCCTGCCAAGCCTTTCTTATCCCCTCTTCCTTTCCCCTCAGCTCCACTCTAACTTTCAGCAAACCTCTCTGCCTAATTCAAAGAGAAAATACAGATCACTGGACAATAATTCTCTCACTTTCAGGCTTCTCTCCTGACAAATTTACCTTTCTCCACACCCTTGGTAACCTCCTTTCCCACATGCCTCAGAAGAAAGGTCGTCTCAACTCCTGTTTAA